TCGGTTTCCTCTTTCAGGCAAATTACTGTATCGGTGGAGCAAAAGTTTAAAAAGAATATTGTGAACAAGTTAGTTAAAGTAAACAAAGCCACACACGTAGAAAAAACTAGATGGCCACAAATTAAGGCCATATTAACACCATTTTTAACTAAAAAATTAAAACATTTAGCATTTTGTTTGTTTATTTACATGACAACAGCATTTTGGGGGCCTGAAAACGCAAACATTTGAAAACAGGTTTAAAAGTGCAAGTTTTTGAAAACGATACCGTTATCGTCTCCATGTAAACTACGAAAACGCATATTTGTGAAAACAGTGACATCATACGCATGCATATTATGTGTTCAGTCAATAGGAACGTGCATGTGCGCAGACACGTCGTATTTCTTTACTAAGTGACATCGCCAGCTACTGGCCTGGCATGAATAATACAGCGTTTTTAGTCGTTTTCGCGCATCTGTGTGAATGAGGATTGTTTTGACAACACTGTTGTCTGTATGTGAAACTTTTTGAAAACACAGAGCAAACTTTTCCATTTTTTAGCACATCGTTGTCGTGTAAACGTACCCTACGAATTTGTTCCAGCGACTTATCTGTGGCCATGTTTTATTAATTAAATCATGGCAATGTTTGATTAATTTGTTCCCTTGTTTTAGGTAGTTTCAATTGTAGTACAACAATATGTTTTAATTTAGTTAAATCATGTCCATGAACAAATTAGTAGCTACAACATGTACTGATTTACCTGAATTAATAAGTTGTGAAAACAAATGATTAATTCATGTTGATTAACACATGATTAATTCATGATAATTCCAACAATATCTTCTTCTTTTTTCATGTCTGGGGCTCCATAAAATAATAGGTTAAGCTATTCAGAACTAGCTACCTAAAAAAAAAAATACAGTTTAATAGCACAGACATTTGGAAGAAAACCTACCCCTTAAAAAAAAAAAAAAAAAAAAAAAAGGATTTTTGGAAAAATATGAATCACACTGTCAAATCCCTCAATGAATTCCGCTTGCCGCACACTTGCCTCGCGTTATCATTTCATTTTAGGCGGTTGTTTTAAAAAAAAAAAAAAAAAAAAAAAAAAAAAGAAAAGGTATTTTGAGAAACATTTTTTTCCCCCATACAATAAATGGTTTACATTATTGACTTTCATTGTATAGACAAAAACTTCAAAATATTTTATTTTGTGCTCCACAGATGAAAGAAAGTCAAACAGGTTTGGAACGGGTGAGTAAATGATGACATCATTTTTTTATTTTTGGACATACAATCCCTTTGAGACTGGGCTGCGTTGCAGTAGACAGTATCAGGTGTGACTTTTCCGTCTGTTAGTGAGAGTTTACAGCCTTAAGCACAAACAGATGTCAAACCACCTTATTTCAATGGCTGCACACATTTTGTGACTACACACATTAGTGCTGTCACAGTACCTGTCCTCAGGTGTGCTTCCCCACCATCCCTAAACTTCAAAAAGACTCTCACGTAACACCAAATAGCCATTGTTTAGCTCAAACGTACCCTCGTAAATCCATAATGGTCATCATCTGTTACATAATACACATTCTGAAGGTGAGAGGACGTCTCAAAACCCTTCGGCTGGCTTTACGCTCCATTAAAAACATGACAAGATAATAACAGTGATTACGCTTTCACTCAAACAGCCCCAAATATGGGATTAACTCAATGTGTAGGTTCAGCTGAGACCCTCTTTAGTCTTCATAAAGGCTCACACAAACACCTGTGTGATCAAACAGAGCTTGTGTGTAGAGAAACTCCTCACACCCTCCTCAACAGGCGATAACTAGCGTGATGCACTGAACTGTGACGTGAAGGTTTAATGAGGAACACAGATGTTAAACTGCCATTAGAGGCCTGTGAATGAGTGTTTATGTGTGGATTGGGCATTAAGATAGTGAGGAGTTGTGCAACTAATTGCTTGGCGAAAAAATCTTTTCTAACAGGTGTATGAAATAAGGCTGAAATTATAGTTCACTGCTTCCAAAACCATCCAAGCGTGTTGAACTCTGTGGAATCTCTGACATTCTGTTGATTACCTCAAAAATACTTCAATTTGTACCCCAGATTGTAAAAGCAAACAAAAATCATCTTTACAGTAATGTACTTAGAATGGAAATTTATGTTGCCAGCAAAAATAACTTGAAAAATTCTTGAAACTAGCATAGAAATGTAAGCACTAAAAATATTATTAGATCGTAGAATTTGATTTACCAATTCTTCAACATAACAAACCCTTTTGTGGTCTTATTTCAAGCAATATATCGATCTCTAATTTAGTTCTAGTGTTCCTTTTTCACGAAGTCATTGCATTGGTTGCTGTAGCTCAACATGATGCTAACAATACTAAAGACAATGGTTCAATTAGGAAACACATATTCTACTAAAATATACAGTTAATACATTATGAAATTAGTTAGATTAGAAAAACATTAATTAGCATTCTTATAAAAAGTAAGGTTTGCTTGATTGAATGCATTTCTGTTTAGTTTTAAGATCCAATAATATTTGAAATAGCTAGATTAATGTTTGAAGAGCTAAATATTAATCCTTGCATTCCGACTGGTGGAAGTCCCCCACCCCCTTTAACAGTATGTACTTTCAAATACTTTTAATAAGAGTAATGATTATAGAAATAAAATACTTTAAAAGAATATATTAAAGTGTGAACTATAATGTTTTCAGACACTTGTTTTTTTTTGTTTTGTTTTTACAGTTAAATGAAAATGTTATATAAATATATATAAAGTGCCATTAGCTGAACTTTAGAGGGCTTTTTTGACCCACTCAATTAGAACTTGTAGGTACATCTTTATGGGAATTCATAATTACTTCTATTGTCATTGTAATGCTTAAAGTGTTCTGCAGAATGTACACTGTAAAAACACAATTTTTTCCCAAAATGTTTGGATTACATTTTACAATAAAATAGTTTCAGTCTTTCTACTTTAAACATTGAATTCATTTAATGTGTTACTAGCAAATTTACTAGCAATTTCTGAAGAAACACCTACACCATTTTTTTTCTGTATACTGACTGGCATTTATGGTACACTACTGTAATTACAAACATATTTAAATACATGTATTTTAAAATATATTTGTAATTACACATTTGCAATGAAGTTGCTATGTTAACTTTAAATGTAATTTTGAATAACACAGTACAGCTGATTTTTGGTAGTTGTAAACACACTCACTGATGTGACTCTCACAGTGAAATGTTTTGTGTTTTTTTCCATTTTCCATTTACAGCCCCCCCTCCACACCCACCCTTATCAATAAGCAGACTTGTATATAAAAAAAGAAAAACAGGAGAGATGGCATTACACACCCGCTGTGGCATTTCCTTCACTTCCTGTGTGTGATGATCCTCATTACCATCAGAGGAGTTTCACACGCTTACAGTTTCACTGCGATGAGCCCGATGAAGAACAGTGTGTGTTTGTGTGCGAAAGTAACAAAATAACGCATACGTTTTTCAGAACTTGGAGGAATAACAACAGCAATATCACACTTTTCATAATAATTTCACAAACATATAGCACTTTAAAGTCCAAAAGATTTACATATTAAGTGCGATTCATTTCATTAGGAGTAAAACATTTGTAAATATCAAAATAATACTGAGTGCAACTTTGAGCTTGGATATAAGATGAAGTATTTGTAATATTGATCAAATTAAACATCACTTGGAAATAATGCAGATTGTGGACAGTAAAAATATTCATAAGTGGTCATTTTTAAGTTCAGACAACAAGTCTGGAAAAAAGTTAATGTAGTTGTATCTCAGTTGGCTGTAATGGGTAGACAATGTCTTTCTAAGACGCAGCGGTAGACAAAACATAACGTCTAGATGATGTCATTATACAGCTGTCTATGTCTCTCATAATTGTGTGTCTGTTTAATGTAAATTGAAGTGTCTCTGTCTCTCAGTATGTCATGGCTTCATATGTGCTTCATTTGAGGCATTATTTGCAGGAGTGTACAGCTACTCTGTGAGAGCAAACATTATTACACTCAAATCTTTCATTTTAAAAAAAATATATATATTCCTAATTTGAATGCAGCCATCTGCAACACATCTGGTCTTAGTTAAAATATCATTACTACTATAAATATTTAGAAAAGGATTTTGACATCCTTAAATGTTCCCTGGATGACATACGGCAATGATTACACACCACAATTACAGCTACTGGCTGAAAATAGAACTGTAAGCAAAAATAAAACTGAGACACCATATTAGAAGACAGACTAATATAAACGCTCGTCCCAACACACACTCTCTCTCTCTCTCTCTCTCTCTCTCTCACACACACACACACACACACACACACACACACTGAGTCTCTTACAAAACCAGTGCTGCCTACATGCACTACATTATACTGCGTTCTAAGAGATGGATGAGCCAAAAAAAAGAATAAAAAGAAGTGTGCTTAATTGTATTGTGTGTGTGTGTGTGTACTGTAACAAACTCAGTGAATAAGGGCCGTGCACAGGGGGGTGGGCCGGTGGCTAGAGCCTCTGCCCTCTTGAACCCCCCAGCACCCCCAGCCCACACTGAATGTGATTGGCCCCCCGGTGCCCTCCCAACACCATTGGGCGAGAGTACTGTCAATCTGACAATGCCTAATGCCATTGGATCAGAGCGTTGTCAATCACTGCCTGATTCGCTGCCCATTGCCGCCTGTAAATTTTCTCAACAGTACTGGATCAGAGCGCTATCATTGAGTCAATATTTATTCTGATTAATTTCGTGTGACTGATCAAGTTATTATATGTAGCTAGTATGAGTAACAAAATGCGTTCCCTGTGTCCAGATTTGACCGCAATAATAATGCAAAAACTGACACTTCAAATCAACCTTTAAATGTCAACTTTTACAAAAAGTAGTATTTAATAGTGTAAATACTGTATATATCCAAATACATAATCTAATACAAGTTATTTATTTTATATTAGGCCTATAGCATGGTGTATTTCTATTCGGTTTGTTAACAAAAGTTCTATGTTTAATATAAGTGAGTTTGTCATTGTACCGTTTTGTTGTTGTCCATTCAAGCAACTGACGTGCAAATGCCGCTAATTCGAAGTGAAAGTAAAATGCGCACGGGCATTTAGACGACTTTTAAAAGCAAAAGAAAGCGAGGAAAAGAGGGAAAACCCCAACGAACCCCACCCCTCGGTGATACCGGTATTACCAGTGTTGTCACACGTCGATTAACCGGTGGGAAAATTGCATCACCTTCACTACCCTAATACACAAACACACACACACACACACACACTCACTCTCCTCTCTCTCTCTTTCTCTCTCTCACTCACACACACACACACACACACATATAAATATATATACATAGATAGATACATACATACATACATATACTGAACATATAAATATATGGCTGAGCAATAACTGCCCCACCCCCAGTGATTTCGGCCACTGCCCCTCAAAATGTCAAATGTCAAAATGTGCACGGCCCTGGTGAATACATTTATTCAAGATGGTGGAAAATATAGAAGAAATGTTGATTAGACATACACTTAGAATTTATTCAATACTTAAAAGTTGAAACTGAATAGTGATACTGAATCTGCTGTAATTAAATGTAGATCAATCTTGAAACTGAATAGTGAAACTGAATCTGCTGTAATTAAAAGTAGATCAAATGTATGATTATGCTATTAGAGTATCACATTGTAATCTTAGCAACATTCTAACTCCTTTTCACCTCCTTTATTTTATACAAACTTCAAAAGTGCTGATGTGATGCTAAATTAATTTCTCTTTTCACATCCTGTGAATTGACATTCTCTTATTCCCTATGCTGTTTTGCAGTGCCCTCTAAACTGAAAATGGACAGACTGGAATCTCACTAAAGAAGGTAGAATAGCCAGTGAAGTCCACTTCACAGGGCACTTATGGTCAAATGGAATCCACCTTAGGTTTTGGAACAGAGCCATTAACAAATCCACACATACATAAACAAGCATTCCCATACAGGAAGTTTTTATCCCACCAACGGGAATTCATCATCAGTGAGCCACAAAAACACTATTAAGCAATAAATAGAAGTGTGATAGCAATCTTTATAACTGGAGGGAGTTTATCTCCTTAAATTGTCATACATTTGTTTTTCTTACATCTGGCTGCAAAGAGCGCCTGTTTCATTAACAGCTACTCAAAATTATCACTGCATTCTGATGAAATTAAAAAAAAAGTCTTGTTTTCTCCTAAGAAAACCACCCAGGATACCAGAGTCTGCAACTGGAGGTCAGAGATCTCAATGTGAACATTTAAGCAAAGTGTAACACTTTATTTTGATAGTCAATGTTAGACATTCTGCTGACTATATAAGCAACTCATGTCAACTAGCAATCATAAGAGTATTAGTAGACTGTCTGCTTAATATCTGCTAACACTCTATTTTGATGGTTCATCAAAATTCATTCTGCTGACTATATATTTGTTTGTTTGGCCGCACTAGGGTTACTGCCATATGTCTGCTGTTCAGTTTTCTGGTAGGGCAGGCAATATTTGGGACATCTTTTCTAGTCTCCTTCTGATCTGGGTGAGCAGTGCTATCCCTAAAAATGGCTGCTCAGTCGCCTGGAATGCTGCTGAACTTCCATGGTGCAAGGAAGCGCGACCACTGGTCCACAGGCCACCTGCGTGCGGGTTCCAAGTAGTGATGGGTCGTTCTTGAACGATTCGTTCATTTTGAACGAATCTTTAATGTGACTCGGGAAGAACGAGTCGTCTCGGGGAGTGATTCGTTCAGTTGCGCATCCGCAACATCCTATAGGTTCTGTACTGGAATTAGTCAAGTAGTTCACCTGTTTCGAGTCTTCGGGTTTTTCGAGTTGTTCGTTCATCATGTGACAGCCCCATAAGCATAACCAATGCAGTCTGAGCCGGAAAGAGACTTAATAGTAATAACAATAACCAAGTCTTTATTACCTTTGTTACAACATTCAGTGTTACGGAAAAAAAACATCATGACAGAAATTCACACATTTATGAACTGTAAGAAGTAAAAAGCTAAATTTGAGACCAGAAATGCATCACGTAACTGTAAGAGTAAATAATAATTATAATAATTATAATAATAATAACTATGCACCCGTTTGTAATGAAGCTTGTAAATTAACTAATTTCTCTATCCAACTTTTGTCACGTCACGTGACAAAAGAACGAACGATTCGAAAGACTCAAGAGATGAACTAATCAATTCTCTTTCCGGCTCAGACTGCATTGGTTAAAGCATATGGGGCTGTCACGTGATAAACGAACGACTCAAACCCGGAGACTTGTCAGATAAGAGATGAGGTGAGCTAATCATAGACTGAAGACCCAGGTAAACAATGAATTAATCTTTTCTGTTTCTTATTGCAGTTTTGTATTGTTTGTAGTGTGATCAACGTTTGCGTAAGTAGTAGATGTGTTAGGGAAGTAACACGTAACATTTTAATTATATTTTGCTAAAATGAACGAAATGAACGAAATGACTCAAAAAAAGATTCGCTCATTTTGCTGAACGAGACTCAAAGGTCCGAGTCGGTAAAATGATCCGAACTTCCCATCACTAGTTCCAAGCTACGACTACTTCCAAGCCAGTGGTAACCGCCACCTGTTGCTTTGTCAGTCCCCAATAGCCGCAGAACTTGAAGAAAGATGAAGAAGCAGGGTTGTAAGTGAGATATGCACAAGACCTGTGTGTGAAATAAATTTTGGTGGAGAAGCGGATGCGCTAAAGCAACTCTACCCCCTCGGCCGCTAAAGTTAGAGTCCAATGGCACAACAAGCATTACGATTGGTAACTTCTTTGGTTGCAGAGGATAAACGAGGCTTTTCTCACTCCAGGCTGCCCTATGCACTCCACAATGCATTGCTGCAATGCCTTCCTGACCGCTGAACCTTGATTGGTTTCTTTCGCTCATTCTACTGGTGTAGGCTTTGCATCCTGGGTTAGTATGCCCACAGGTAGTACTGGTTTAGCATGCTTACTAGTAGCAGAAAAAATCCTGACCTGACTATACTGCTGACTATAAGTAACTTTACAATTACATGTCAACTTATTCTATTAACTGAAACTACTAATACACTAATAAGAGTTAGCTGACACGCAGTTTCAAAGTTACTTACAGTTAGTAGAATGTCTAAAGTGGACTACAGAATTAAAGTGTAACCAAGCAAATTCTTTCAATACCAAATGATCTGACCTATTCGCATTAATTTTATAGCACTATACTTTTACTGTATGTCAACAATTGACTTTTTATTTCGCATAAGGAATTTTAGGAGAAGCAACTGACGAATATGATACTTAAACATGACTGATAATGAAGGTCTCTTGCTTTCTCTTTAGTTGTCTTGTGTTGGCATCTCTGTGAGGTTGCTGACAGACACACCCTGCTGCTGCGGATGACATCAGTCTCAGTGCCGGTAAGTGCAGTGTCCGGGGAAAGTCTGGGAATAAAGACCAATCCCTCGGGTCATCGATCAGTCATTATCCACATGTGTGTTCTGTCAAAATAATCTTCATTATCATTCAGTGGGTGGTGGGACTGATCGCAAATCAGTATCCACAGCACTCAAGAGGAAGGCTCTGGATTTGTGTGCTGTTTTATATCCTTCAATTACCAGTTATAAACACATTCACACTCATTGTTTGTCCAATAACAGCTTCCTTCTCATCAAACTACTTCTATTGTGAATATGTCATCAGGATTTATGTTCAATTTAATGTGTTTGAGACACTTGGGTTTGTTTATTGTTGTTTAAGATCAAGTGATAGTTCAAGGCCACTGCCAGTAGCTCTGGGCATTGCTGTGTTGTTTTTATGTACCAATGGCATTTATTTTGTATACAGAAGGAAATGTAATTGTAATTATGTAAAATGAAAGTCAAGGAGGACTTCACAAAAAAATACCATAACTGTCACAAAAGTAGTCCTTGTGCACTATACTGCATTATTTTAAAGTCACATGATAGAAGAGGGAAGTACCAACGTCTGATTTGTGAATTAATTATTTTCAGTGAATCAGTTCATCTAGTTCACAAAACCAGTCTGAATAATTAATTCATGAGTCAGACTGATTCAACTTCAACTCAGTGAACCACAAGAAAGATCATCTGTGAATGATTCTTCCCTGTTTCTAACACAAAGCTCTCATATGACCTCAGAAGACAGAATATAGTGCATGAGTCATAGTGTCTAGAGTACTTTTATGATACTTTTTTTTTTTTTTTTTTAATTTGAC